TGAAGAAAAAGCAAGAAAGTTCTGTATAATATTATTTAGACTTAGGAAAGGTTTGACAAAGCAAGAAAGTTCTGTATAATATCATTTAGACTTAGGAAAGGTTTGACTTGACATAGCCAGCCTCACTCATTTCAAATGAATTCAGTGCTCCCTCTGCATAGCCCTTATCATCACCTAGTGCTACTTAAAAATAAAATAAAAAAAACTCAGCTGATCTAACAGCCACTTTCAAGAAAAATCAACAGAGTGTGACACTAAATAAATACCAGGTGAGAACAAATTATTTAGTGTAGCACAATCTGGGCTCGCTTGTAAGATGAGCAAACCCAAACAACTTCCCAGCAGATCACAGACTCAGGAATACAGAACGTCTCTGTACAACATATGGGACAGCACATTTGAAACACGCTCTGAAAAGGAATTAGCTCTGCTAATACCATCCTAATTGAGGCCAAAAGGGGAAACATGAAACAAACACGAGGCGCTATCAGCAAACACAACTCTGCTGCAATGTATTTTGAAAAGGAAAAGATCCAGCTGGAGCAGTGCATGGTTTTCACCCTCCCTGTGCTGCTTCCCAGCAAAAAAGAAAAAACCCACACTGCAGCCGGTAGCATGTTTGACTCTTGGAACCGAGGTTCAGGGACAGCTTTTGTAATGAATGAAAGCATTTTTCTAATGCTAAACACAAACCCATTTTAAATAGGAATTGACAATGACCTGCGGTCAGCATTTATTAGTGCATAATAAATGTCATTTTGAAGTCAATTTGCCAGTACCAATTAAACTTGTGGATACTGTACTCGGTGGGGCCATGAAGCACAGCGCTTGAAGTTGACGATAACCAAAGAGCTATTCAAATCAAAGAAAGCCGCATCAATTGCACGGCGGGACAGAGCCAGTGCTCCCAAACCCCAGAAACGCTCTGAAATCGCCTCCTCTCCCTTTGTCCCACGGTGCTGACTCTCCGGTTTTCCACCAGTGCAAATTATGAGAAGCAGAGTAGGACTTACCCTCCTCTACCATCTCCATTTTCAGAGACATCTCTGTGCAAACCCACTCTTCCTCAGCAAGCACGAGCAGTCGCGTACGCTGTCGTGAAAACAGAATTATTTTCCTGTTAAATTGCTGGCAAATTCTGTTCAGGGGTACCGAAGATTATACAGGGGATAATTTTCACAGCTTTCCTAACAAGTGACAAATTCTATACCTAAACCATACGTACCATAAAATACCACAAGATAGCACAAAATTATTAGGCAATTATCCTTTTTGACTATCATCTGTCCAATTTTTGCACCTTGCCCTCCCCAGCTTGTCGAAGCCTTACTGCTCAGGCAGACCGGCTCTGTGACTTTATTAAAAAAATACATATATACCATCTTACAGAAACCTCTCTAACGTCTAGTCTAAAAAGTTCTGAGCTGGTGCCCAACTGCTGAACATTCTTTAGCAACTTTTTGAGGTTGTGTAGATAAGTGTTTAAAATTATTTGGCATTACCAGCTTTTAGGTTTTATATATAAAGGATAAAAACTACAATACTGCAGGCCAACAGCTGAAAAAGTCTTATCACCATAAAGCAAGATCTATGACTTAAAAAGACTGTGAATTTTCAAATGCTTTTGTTCATGTAAACGACCAGAAGTCACTCGTTAGTGACATCAACCACAAGTAATTAATCAGTTGTTTCTCTAAAAAGTTTCTTTATGCTTTTTTGGAGGCCACTCCTTATTTCATGGGGCACTCTGATCAAACTGTTAGTAGTACACCTAGCACCACAGATGTAGATTTTTCAATAATAAAGCAGAAACAGTCCTTGGGCCAAACGTCGTGACCGCGGCCAACACCATCAACTTCAAAAGCAGCTGAAGAGCACACTGAAAACACACGTTGGATAACCTCCTCCACCACGATGGGTTCATCCTAACCCCAGAAATCAAGGATTGCTTTAATTTCTGAAGTATAAAGTTTTACAGATTTCAAAATGTGTTGGCATTAACTGTCAGGCTCCCGATATTTGTATTGCTCACATGAAGCACCCGTTAAACGTTCCTAGTTTTTTTCTAAACAGTTCTGCAGCAACGAGGTCCGCGGTGCCCGTACGGGCAGTAAGAAAAGTACAACCCTGTGTGTGTCTTGGATTTGCCACCTCTCATATTCACGAGATGCTTTCTTGTTCCTGTTTTATGGACTGCGCTAACCACAGACCTACTTTTTCTAACCTATTCAGTATTCCCATCCTTTTGTTGCTTAGTCTCTTACCCATCTCCTCTCTTCACATACATTTTCCACCTCCTTCGGCCAGCACTCTGCTGCTTCCCCTCTCGCTTAGACTGCTGCTTTTTTAACCTTGCCGTCAGGCTTTACTGGTTCTGTGCTCAGCAGAAGAGGGTTCTGGTACAACAAGGGGGCTAAAGGAAAAAAGAAAAGTTATACTCCAGAAAAGTCTAAAACAAGTATTTTTTTGGTCATATAAACTGAAGTAATCAGTTGTTATGATTCACTTCAAAGAAACCATACCTACATATTTTCAAAGTCCAATCTCTATTTACTACATCCACAAGCCTCCCTCAAAACACAGTCATTTAATACAACTGACAACTTAAACCAGATATTGTTCCTACTGCGGATTAAAAGGTGTTGCACTTTCCTATCTGACACTATAAACATATTAACGCACTGGTTGTATTAAGAAGCCAGCTGGCAGCAGGCGTTGACGAAAGAACACTAGTACAAAGTGCTTGGAAGGGACTTCAGTTCTTTTGTCTCAATAACACATCAGGTAAAGGCAATAAACCCTCCTTCTATCCTAAAGCTGCACCCTGCCTGCTTTACTCCCGCATGAATACTCAATGCAAATTACTTTTGTGAATAAGGCACGAGGGATTTTATCTTCTATCGCGTGATAAAGCTCACGCGATCCAAAACAAAAGCACAGCGGGAGTTGTACGTACGTGCAGCAAACCCAAAATCTACTTCACGTTAAAACCAGTCTCAATGCACGTCTTCAGCTCCCTGAAAGTACAGACAGGGCCCCACCTTGCAACCACTTTGGGGTCCTGCCCTGTGCTCCTCCGATCTGAAACTGTAATTGCTGCCAAGAATGTATCGTTTGAGACAAAATGTCAGGATCCCATGTATTTTTTCCCCTCCTGCTTTGTACTAAAGAGAAACACAAAGACAGGAAACCCAAGACTGATCTTTTAGTTATCTTCTATAATTACTTTAGAAAGAACCATGTTATTTGTTTATAGAGAAAAATACCTGGACAGAGAGAAAAGACTTATGGAAATAATTTCAATTTTACAGTTGTATTAGAAAGTTGTTCACATCCATTTTATTGCAAGAAAGCCATCTTGAATTATTCAAAATTAATTAAAATTCAGAGTGTTAAACAAAGAACAGTATTCATAATGTAATAGTCTTCCAGGAAAATCTTGAAAATAGTTTAGTTAACAAAGAGCCTAAACCAACAACAACTCACGCACGGCAATGATGTGAACAGGTTTTGTTTCTAAAATAGCAAACCATCTTCACATCGCTGTACTTTTGCTAAATATGTGGCATTTTCCTATAGCGAGGCACCAAAAGTCTGTGGCACGATTATTTCAGAGATACTAAGGCTCTGCTGAAGTCCATACAAGTTGAAAGGCGATCGCTTGTTTTGAAAAGATCCGGCCACTTAAAGCGGTAATTGTCAGGAATTTAAATGCCTCCAAATCATTCCGCCTCAGAAGAAATTCCCACAACATGTGACACAACACAAAGGGTTGGATTTATAAAAAAATATTTAACTGCTGTTATTTGCTCACTGTGTAGACCAACAGATAAAGTTTATAAGTAGACAGATTATTAATCTTTAAATCAAACCGACATTAGACTTGTTAAGAAAACCTCAAAAACTTGTAGTCATCTTGTTATGCGGCCATTCTGTTTTTAGAAGCGTTAATAGCTGTCAGTTCTACCTGTCAGGAATATCACAGCCAAATCTGCCCAATTCCCATTTTTTTTACAAAGTCACATACAGAAAAGCAACCAGCAACACTACTCTTTGTGTAACAGTTTACAAATTAGAAAATTCCAGAGGCGATTGCATTACCATTAGTGTATCAATACTACAATATTGCAATATTCATCTTCATCCTCAAGTAAAACCTGCAATTAGGTATTGCAGTTATTTCTATTAGATGTAAAATACTTCTCCAATTATATTATTTTGGGATACGTAACACCACCAATCCTTAAAATATATGTACTGGGGTAATTTTTATATATATATAGATATCCTTCAGAGGCTTATTACAATGCCACAACACTTCTCAAAAGTCCTTCCCCAGTGACAACGCAACACTCTTTGTAACGTGCCTTGTCCTGCTTTAGGAAGGCGAGACTGAAATCCTAAACTTCAGCTGAAGTTCATGGAAATTTTGCCATTTACCTCAACAGAACCAAGATTTCACCCTGCAAACAGAAAGGACTTTCATTATTACCGACACTTTCTAAAACAAAATACTACCAATTCTTTCAACCTTCTGCAGTGGAGAACGTTTAAACTTGGGTATCGTTAACACCAAGTATCTTCCCAACTCTTCCTTCTTGAAAATACGGCAAGTATGCAATTCAACAGGTAATACTTCTGGGGCAGCCTCAGATTGTTCTCTGAGATATTCTGCCTCGTGATATATAGTTATAAAGCGCTTTTTTTTCCCCCACTTGTCCAGCAGTAAAATTTAGTACAAAACCCACCCTATTGTAACAATTCCAAATACAAATCTAAAATACTGCCCTTTTTGACTTGCCGCAGAAATTCAAGAAAGCATCGTGGAAGTAATATCCTAGCATTCGCTTCAAACGCAAATAGCTGGATATTAACAGCAGTGGCGTTTTTCTTAATTGGCAGCAGTACAGCAATACTGTATCATTGAGTTCAGAATAATTGTTAAGAAAAGCAAAGAAGGGGACCCACTGGGTCAGCTAGATCAGAACCATTTTGTAGCGTTATACCGAGGGTACGGGTATCTGCTTAGTCGAAGCACTATCATAGTCTCGCACCAAGTCGTTGGTGGTGTGATAATGCATGGCAATGTAGGATTTGGCAAATCCAAAAGTCGAGTTCACCGGCTGTAAGCTATTTGGGGTGCTCACTTCCTGGGAAGGGCTGCTGTTATAGATACTGTAATAGGGCTCGATTCGGGTGTTCATGGGGGTTGAGCTGCTCTGTGCATAGGGCTGATGCCCAACAGAAGCCTTAGGACTCAGCACGCTTTCCTTGGAGTGACTGGGACCACAGGCGTGGTCCGCAACCTTTTTCTGAGGTTTTGGAGACAACACGTACGCTGAATTGGTCTCGTGATGGGATGACTTGTTCCTGTTGACTTCCAGGCTGCCTTTGCCCATGGCCCGAAGCCTCGTCTTCTGTTTGCAGCAGAAAAAGACAAGGGCTACGTACTGCAGGCACCAGAGAACTCGTCTCCGAAGTCCAGCACTGTTGCGGGAATATATAAAAGGATTTAATCCAGATTTGAAAAAAATGAGGGTAAACCCACACAGCTCGAACTGGTAGAGAACAAAGCCACCGCTGCTGGACAGCGTGTCCTGCACCAAAGAGATGCCCAGGGGCAGGCAGCAAACCAAGACAGAGAGCACGATGACGACACACGTCACCACCGCCTTGGAGTCTTTGGCCGCGGAGAGGTTGACCGCTACCGCCGACACAAGCTGGAGCCGGCTGGTGGTGGTGGCTGGCGGCTGGCCGAGATGCTTGGCGTAGCCGTGCGTCTGGACGTGCTGCGGCTTGCTGTAGCTCTGGTTCCTGTACAAGGCAGGCACGACACTCTGCACGCCCTCCCCGGACGAAGGCCCCATGAAGGGCTGCGGTCTGGAGGCATCCACGGCCACCACAGGTGGGCACCTCCTCACCTGAGCGTTCCTCCGCAGGGCCTGGGCGATCATGACGTAGGAAACAGACACCACAGCTACGCAACAGATGAAATCGATGACGTAGAGATAGAGGATGATCTTCCCCTCGCTGCTGGCGAAGCTGGACATGGGCAGGCAGAGGCGGGAGCCGCGGGTTTTCAGGGTGGCCAGGGTGGCCAAGGTGAAGCTGGTGGCCCACAGGAGCAGGGTGAGGAGAAGGGTGCCCGTGGAGCCGAGTCGAAGAAGAGGATGAAGGCGAACATGGGGGCGGCCACCCCGCAGATGAAGAGGTCGCAGAAGGAGAGGTTGAGGATCATGAAGTCGAAGTTGGTCCTGAATTTCCTGAGGGCCGGGTCGAAGAAGGACAGGAGAACCGTGGAGCCGAGTCGAAGAAGAGGATGAAGGCGAACATGGGGGCGGCCACCCCGCAGATGAAGAGGTCGCAGAAGGAGAGGTTGAGGATCATGAAGTCGAAGTTGGTCCTGAATTTCCTGAGGGCCGGGTCGAAGAAGGACAGGAGAAC